GCGGGGGTGGGGGTGGGGGGGGGGGGGGCAAACGAGTAGTGGGGTTACCTGACGATCAATGACTACCGCCGCCCATGAACACCTGCAATTCAACCGTTGAGTTCCTCCAATATCAGGGTTACGGTGATTTGGGCTCCAGAAACCTACCTCACTCACTCCATGAAAAGCAATGAAAAAATTGGTTAACTTATTTAAGTCTTAATATTGGTATTAATCCAGGCTGTTCGAGCTGGAAATGACATAATATCTGACATATTGCCATTAGTTCCAAAACCATCACTAGATGGCGCTATGCAAATTATGAACGAACAAGCAAGAATTTCCAATACCTCCATATAATATGTAGCATGTTTTTCATAAATGTAGAACCAAGAGAACCAATAAAGTGTTTATCTCGCCAGAAGAATTTTATTTATAATCTTCAAGATTTTTGGGACTTGTTCACAGACGTACACTATTAATAATTGAGATTTAAGATGTACTGTGTGCCAACCCTAGAAAATCTGCAACTGTCAGACTGTTTCTCTCCCCAACGTGATCGAACACGTGACTTTGAATAGCATCGCTCTGTCACGATTTAATCGAATTGCAATCTACGTAATAATCTACAAACAGTTTTTATATACAAATATTATAAAGAAATAAAAATTGTATGTTTATTATTAGATAAAAAAAGCAACGAAAAACCTGAAAACCCGAGATAAGAAGGAGTTATAGTCTCCAACACTTATAATTATTCGAAATTACTAAAAACAAAGCAGGCCGTGTGATGACGGATTAAGAATATTCAGTGAGAGCCGACTAAGGGAGCAAACGACGCAGGACAACAGCACTGCAAAGATAAGACTATACCGTATACCAATCCGTCTGGCCAGCGAGGTATTGTTGGTCAAAATCTCCTTTCTAAGGAGCGGTCTATTTTCAGCAGCGGACTAATAAAGGCTGTTGATGATGATTATGATGACTAAAAACAGTTTAAAAAAGCTTGACTTTGGATGCAAAAACTGACAAAATCAACCTCATACTATGAGAAGTATTTTAAAGCTACGCTCGACACGTGTTACGTAATCAAGGAAATAAAGATGATCCTACACTAGTCACTGGCAAGCAAAACAAAACGGCTTCATAAACAATCACAAATGTTAATATTTTCCCGGCGCCACAAGTGTCAAGTATCAGTCTAATCAGATAATGGAAAATGGATCAAAATTGATTACGTCGACGTACTTTGTTTATATCATACACAATCACTTGTCAAATTTATTATCAATCTATTAAAAACGTTTCAGAAGATGAAAACATTGCAAAAAGTACATTTGAAGGAAATGTTTTTTATAGGATATCGCTCGCGTAATCCTTTATTTTACCCCCTTTTGGTTGACATGTTCAAAAATCTTTTCTTAGTGTGTGCTTACAACATGAAAAGATGGAACCAAAGAATTCCGTTATTTATGAACCGATTTTTTATTTAGGAGGGTATCCTAAACAGAAAATCTTTTCAAAATACAAATATATAAAAAAATACAATCGAATCAAAAATCGAAAAGTACAAGGTCGTCCTAACGGCGACTCTAATCGCCTTAGAAACCTGTAGGAATCCAGTACGGGTCTTATGGGAGGCATGAAGTATGATTAAGCAGATTTTCTGTTTCAATCTTCGTTCAAAGAGTATTTTAATTATTCCTACTAATAGTTAGCAGGGGTGTGAGGGGCGAACCACCATCTTTCGCCCCAAGCCAACCTCACCTGCCCGCGGTGCATCCTGCTGAACGACGAACGAGGCTCTGGCGACCGACCGATGGCGGTATATCCATCCCAATAGGCGTAGCTAAATATAACAGGCCGGTGACGGGCAGCAGCGTTACCGGTGCGACAAGCTACGCCCTGCGATCGCCAACCCGCCTGCCCAGCGTGGCGATTATGGGCAAACCCCTCTCATGCAGACGCAACAAAGGCCACGGCCCCCAGTTCCCGGCGGCCCCGCTATTCCTGGTCATGGTGGCGACCACGGTAAAGGCGGGGCAGGGGGTGCGAAGAATCTCCGGGCTACGGGAGGCCACCACAACCGACTGACCCTGGCTACGTACAACGGACGCACGCTACGGCTAGACTCGCATCTGGCGCAACTTGAGGTGGAACTTGGGAAGATTAGGTGGCATATCCTAGGGCTATGTGAAGTCCGAAGAGAGGGGGAGGACACCATAACCCTCGAGTCAGGCCACCTAATGTACTTCCGCGAGGGAGACCAACAATCCCAAGGTGGGGTTGGGTTTCTGGTGAATAAGTCCCTATCTGACAACATTGTGGAAATTTCCAGTGTGTCGAACAGGGTAGCGTACCTCATTATCAAGCTCACCGAGAGGTATAGCCTCAAGGTTGTGCAAGTGTACGCACCGACCTCGGCACATTCGGACGACGAGGTGGAGGATATGTACGATGACATATCGAGGGCCCTCCACTTCACAACTAAGACCCACTACAACGTTGTTATGGGTGACTTCAACGCTAAAGTGGGAGTACAGAATTGCAGCGAATCGGTAGTAGGATCCCATGGATTTGGAAGCAGGAATCATAGGGGGCAAATGCTGGTCAACTTCCTCGAACGGGAGGGGCTGTTTTTGATGAATTCTTTCTTCAAGAAACAGCCCCAAAGGAAGTGGACGTGGCAAAGCCCCGACGCTATGACTAGAAATGAGATCGATTTCATCATGACGGATAGAAAGCACATATTCAGAGACGTCTCAGTGATCAATAGGTTTAATACCGGTAGTGATCACCGACTTGTCCGGGGCTCTCTGAATATCAACTTTAAGGCGGAACGTGTCTGTTTGATGAAATCCAGGCTCCGACCAACTCGGCTCCAGGCCATGACAGGATCTGAAACGTTCCAGTCAAAACTGGCAAACCGATTCGCTGCCGTGGAAACCACAATCGACGTAAACCAGAACCTCAAAAATGTGGTTCAGATCCTCAGGGAAGAAGGTATGAGATTTTGTGAAATGCAGCGTAAGGGCAGGAAGTCGAAGCTTTCAGAAAGGACCCTAGGGCTGATGAAGAAACGACGTGAAAACCCACCTGTCACTTTGTCGGCAAAGCGGACTCTAAACCGAGAGATCAGTAAACTCGTACGACACGACCTCCGGTGCTCCAATACTCTTTCAATTGAAAGAGCGATCGAGCAAAATCGGGGGTCAAAAGTGTTCGTACAATCTCTTGGAAGAAGCCACCTGACAAAGTTGACTACAGAAAGTGGAGAAGTCGTTGCTTCGAAGCCGGCAGTCCTTTTGGAAGTGGAAAGCTTCTATGGCCGGTTATACGCTTCGCATGCATCTCGACCTGATCCCGAAAATGAGGACTCTAGAGCCACATTAACACGTCACTACACCGAAGACCTGCCAGAAGTTAGCATTGACGAAATCGAGATGGCTCTTGGACAGCTGAAAAATGGAAAAGCCCCTGGAGAGGATGGCGTTACAACAGAGCTGCTGAAGGCCGGGGGTAAACCCGTACTAAGGGAGCTCCAAAAGCTCTTCAACGCTGTCCTGTTTGAAGGGAGAACTCCAGAAGCGTGGAGTAGGAGTGTGGTCGTCTTGTTCTTCAAAAAGGGTGACAAGACCAGGTTGAAGAACTATCGACCCATATCCCTTCTAAGCCACGTCTACAAGCTGTTTTCGAGAGTCATCACGAACCGTCTTGCGCAAAGACTCGACGAATTCCAACCACCGGAGCAAGCTGGGTTTCGGAGCGGATATGGCACCATAGACCACATCCACACAGTGCGGCAGATTATACAGAAGACCGAAGAATATAATCAGCCCCTGTGTCTAGCATTCGTGGACTATGAGAAAGCCTTTGACTCGATCGAGATCTGGTCTGCTCTGGAGTCCCTGCAGCGTTGCCAAGTAGATTGGCGATACATCCAAGTGATGAGATGTCTCTACGAAGCCGCCACCATGTCCGTCCAAGTACAGAATCAGCAAACAAGGCCCGTACCATTGCATCGAGGAGTGAGACAAGGGGACGTTATTTCCCCGAAACTGTTCACAAATGCAATGGAGGACATGTTCAAGACGCTGCACTGGAAAGGGCGTGGCATCAATATCAATGGCGAATACATCTCTCACTTGCGATTTGCAGATGACATCGTCATCATGGCAGAGACGTTGCAGGACCTACAGCAAGTGCTGAATGACTTAGCTGACACTTCTGTACGCATCGGCCTACGGATGAACTTGGATAAAACCAAGGTCATGTTCAACGAACATGTACTACCGGAACCGATTGCGGTACACGGTGCCGTTCTCGAAGTTGTTCAAAATTATGTGTACCTCGGGCAGACATTGCAGTTAGGTAGAAACAACTTCGAGGACGAGGTGAACAGAAGAATTCGGTTGGGTTGGGCAGCGTTTGGGAAGCTACGTCGAGTCTTCTCATCGTCGATCCCACAGTGCCTTAAGACGAAAGTCTTTAATGAGTGCGTCCTACCCGTCATGACATACGGAGCTGAAACGTGGACACTTACGGTACGGCTGGTCCACAAGTTCAAAGTCGCTCAACGTGCTATGGAAAGGGCTATGCTCGGCGTTTCTCTAAGGGATCGCATCAGAAATGAGGTGATCCGGCAGAGAACTAAGGTCACCGACATAGCGTACCGGATCAGCAAGCTGAAGTGGCAGTGGGCTGGCCATATTAGCCGCAGAACCGATAACCGTTGGGGAAAACGAGTTCTTGAGTGGAGACCGCGTCTCGGCAAACGTAGTGTAGGACGCCCACAGGCCAGGTGGAGTGACGATTTGCGCAAGATGGCTGGCAGGAGCTGGATGCGAGAAGCCCAAAATCGATCTAAGTGGCGTGCAATGGGAGAGGCCTATGTCCAGCAGTGGACTGCGATAGGCTGATGATGATGAATAGTTAGCAGTACTTCTCTAACATTAAGAATTTACATAAGCTTTGCTAACGGCTTACCCTCAGCCGGGTCATGGCTTACTCGTAAAACGTACCTTTCTATTCGTTCAGAGAGGCAGTACTCCCATCGATGGCTGTTGCACTTCCATTCTCGCATCCGCCTCAACACGGGGGAGTTGAGCTCGTCGCATATGATCTTCAAGGCACCCTCTTCTAGCACATCTTGCACGGCTATTAATGATAATCTGATGAAAAAAAGTTACTGTAATACTAAATTTAAGAAATGAATATTAGAATTAAGATTTCTAATTAGTCCCGTGACCCCACAGGCATCAACAATAATTTTACATAGAAAAAATGATTCAGATTTTCTAAACATCGTTACATTTTCTCAGTAAAAACTTAAATTTAAAAAAGAGAGATATAAAGATAATTTATCATCCAATAGAGTTCGGCGCGGAGGATGATGCTTAAAATTATGATGAATCATCAAACGACCATTACTTATAATTCAAAATGCATTGTTTTGTGTAGTTTAAGAGACCGAGAAAGAAATAAAATGAGTAAAATAAAATCTGGACTTATTTTCCTTCTGAAAAAAAAAGAGAGGCTTTGACTGAACTCAGAATCAAAACGGTAACACAACATGCGATAGAACCTTAGATCACAGTACAATATTTGAAGTATTCAAGGAAAAGCACCCAGACCGGCGCTGTTAGAATATAAATATAGTTTTTGCCATTTCAATGGTGACCGTTGAAACCTATATTTTAATGAGTTCATTTACCACGTTGCAGGAAGTGATGAGTTGTTTTTAATCTCGTAAGATTCCTGATGATTATGGGTTATTTAATTGCAGAAGTACAAAACGTGTAATTATTCGATAAGTAGTTAACTTTTATCTTTTATCAGTCATCATTCACAATTGCCACAGTCGCAGGCTAGAAAATTAAGTTTCACACTCAAATTTTAATCTGTGTCTATCTTTATTACACAACAATACACTCTTTATGCTAGCAATACTACGATTTTGTGCGGGATACATGCGTCTCCCAAATTGCCTATTGTAGTGCACTTAAGACAAATTCCTAGATGAGACTGAAGATATTTAATTCCATCCAGGAATCATGTAGGTAAATTAAAAAGTAACTAAGATAATTTTCGAGTATTTGGGGTATACGCAGTTAAAACAATAGAAAATACATGCCTTGCAAAATTCTATTTCTGTATAGTCGTTGGATTATTTGAGTATTAATTTGGTGCGATCCATGTGGGAGGATAGCCAAGACCGGGATAGTTGGTGCTCCTCGGCTCCTCCTGCTTTCATTCAGCAGTAGACGGTAATAGGCTGATGATGAAATATTGTAACTAAGACTAATCTCCCGTCGCCGTCGTTTATATTGCATGAGTCGAAATAACGTGATTGCATTCCGTTGTGTTTATGATGACCAAAGTACTACGAAAACGTAGAATTAGCGTGATACCATATATTAGCGATTAGCTTTACTAGTGGGTAGCCACAGATTGCGTGGGACAATCTATAAATACAACACTATTTATAATAATTTTGAGAAGAAGCCTACCGTTTTATGTTTGTCTGCCTTGTCAAGTTTTGCCATTTCATGATTTTAGATTACTTTTTAATTGAAATGAAAAATGCTTATGGCTTGGCAATAAGGTATACCCAATGCATATGATCAACCTATTTTCCCATCGGAGCTGCTATACGAATAAAATATTATTTATCGATTTATTCGTTACAATTTTGAAGAGTGCAACTGAAAAACCACAGCCTATTCAGGCAACCACTATTAACTAAACTAAATTACTAAAACACTGACCTTTTACGTGCATGTGTCTCGTACGACAATTTTGCCAATTGAATAGACTTTAGTGAGTGCATTGTGTACGGTATATCTCAAGGTCTCATACAAAGGAAACGGTTAACGATAAAAATGTTTGCCTAAATTGGCTCGTTTTGTTAAAATTTTGTAAGTTGTTGACAAGGATATTATTTGCAAGTTGCGTCGACCAATATCATATTAAATAGTTTTAAGTATACACTGAATACAAAATGACTACTAATTTAAGTTACAGTGAAATAAAATGATATGGAAATGATTATTGCTGGTTTCAGGGGCTGATCGTCAAATTTTACTGGATTTTACAATCAATTTTATACTTTTATCCTGAACAAAAAAAACGTGTTTTATGATTGTAAAACCACTCCACAGGGTCACATAAATGCTACCTTGTAGTGTTCAATTTTCTTTTTTTTTATTTCATCAGGAACCTTCGAAACTGATAACAACAGAGCTCCAGATAGGTCTTAATATTTTTGGTAACAAAAATTTGTTTGTTTATGCAGTCGGTTTCTAAAGAACTTGAACGCCCTATTCGATATCAATCAATTAACTAGTATTCATCCAGTTTCATCAAGCTCAAAGACGTCATATCTTCCTTTAACGAACATTGGGAAGTCTGTTACATTTTAGCATTATTTTAATTTAATTCTTGGATATCCTCGTTCCCTTCCGGGGTAGGCAGAGACGATAAAACGCCTTTTGCCATGATCCTGACATTCAGCTCACGGCTCTTTCACATTCATTAGTCCTTTCATACACGCTTGCCGGTTACATGCGATTTAAAACAAGCCTAGTGTGAGTTTATTTCACATCAAATCGATCGTGTCGGCGAGCGTGTATGGCGTTACGATTAGTGAAGAGGCCTCTGTGCGGGCCAATCGCAAAGCCGAACGCTATCGAGTAGATGTGAAATAAACTCACACTGGGCCGTCTGGTAAGTTAATGACTTTCGGGACTTTCCCGCATTGGCTCGTTCACTCAACGGGGCCTTACTTTATCTAGTTCAGAAAATAATATAATATAAATACTACGGGACGCTATATTCTCTCTTAAGAAGATATAGATTAATACCGTCTAGTTTTTGTATTAAATATTTATGCCAATGGTTGTGTATGCAATAAAAAATAGCGGTGAATACATACAGATGTATTATACACGGGTATTAGCATAATACCTAACTATTACTAAACGATTATTAATTGTTTATGATAATGATGGGAAACGACGTATTTAGTTCAACAATCAGGGTTAAATATAAGTTACGTTATGAGTATCATACTGTTCAATAACATCTATCTGTCCTTTGTCGTGATTCTCTTGAGAACAACGCAGAGAGAATATATCATCTACTTTACAAATCATAAAATATGAACTATGACGACTGGATGGCGTAGTGGTTTGTGTAACGGACTGCTATTCCAAAGGTCGCGGGTTCGATTCCCGCTCAAGTCAAACATTTGTGTGCATGAACATTTGATGTTTGATTTGGTCTGGGTGTTTCTATGTATAATATGTATGTATTTACAAAAAAAAAAAGTATATATGTATTTATATCAGTTGTCTAGTACCCATAGTACAAGCAGCTCTGCTTAGTTTGGGACTAGATGGCGTTGTGTGTATGTGGTAGAATAAATTATATTATAACTTACTTAAAATTTCCAGTTTAAATAAATTATAATCGCTATTTAAAAAAGCTTAAGAAGCCGAAAATCGATAGAAGTGGCGTGCATTGGGGGAGGCCTATGTCAAGCAGTGGACTGCGTTAGGCTGATGATGATGATTAAAAAAACCTTTTAGCGCGTCAAACAAATTTGACATTAGGTAATATTTACAGCCATTTTTTGGTTTGGAATATTTAAGGTACCTACTACTTTAACTTATCCAATAAAACAGAGAAATATTGAAATGTGTTCATAAAGAAAAGAGCAATCCGAAGGAGCCACAATCTAATATTCTTTATTATTTTAGTTTATTTAAAATATCTTTGACATCTATCGATAATATCCTTTATTTTCTATCCTCTATAATATCGTAATATTTCATAGTGTATTTAAATAAACCTAAAACTTTTTAAACACTTGAGAATTCATAGAAAGAAATTTAGTACTTGTACACGTTTATATAAAAATTGCAGTTTTTTTTTTTAATAGTACGAGTACATATACTTTCTGCATCCTTTTAGAATCTAAACGAGCAGAAGAATACATAGAAGATACGAAGAAAAAAAATACTTATCCGTATAAATGAAAAACAATAATACATAAGGACAGACTTAAATAACTCATTTAAATTGTATGTGGTTGAGTTAAATGTAATTATAAAATAAACACAGTTAAAATAGTTTTATATTTTGGTGGATTTAAAAACCACAACACTAAACAACTAAACTCTGTCTCTCGTATTGATAGGTACTCTTTGAAGACACTCGGACTTCTTCGCGTTACTCGTATTCCCTCAAAATGAAGTATAGGTTTAAAATTTCGTTTTTTTTTTAAATTATATTATAATACACATACTGGCATACTCGAACTAGTACGTAACTATTCTTAAAACAGGATTTAATCAACACATATTAAGCCTTCTTGCGAAGAGATGAGCAAACCATTTTGCTTTTTTCATCATTACTTTTTTAAGTTTGTATGGATGTTGATAGGGCCTTATCCGGTCCGTAACTGTAGCCTGGGACAGAATCCAAAGAAGAGATGAAATAAATTGTGTGAAAGAATCACCCAGAAGAAAATTAGAAAGGGAGAAAACAGTGAAATGACGAATGACAGAGTAGTATAGAAGTTTGTTTGTTCTATTCTACATATTACGCCGACCCCGAATAACATTCTGACAAAAGTAGGCAAATGATGAGTCATCGAATATCTACACAAATAAATAAAATTTAAGTGTCTGTTTGTAATGTCAAAATAATAGGTTTTTTCATGCTTACACAGTTATTTGCACGATACCTATGTGGCTAAACCAGTTTTAATATGTTTTGTCTAACTGTCTGTCTGAATATTTTACTACCAGGTAGCTGTTTATATAAGGAGTAACTTAGGCTATTTTTCCTTCCAAAAAAACCATATAAAAATTTGCCGGTCAAGGAATCGAACCCGAAGGCCTCATGGACTGCAGTCGCGTGCCGTTCTTCACCACTGGGGCACTGGGGCAGGGCTTTTCAAATTCCACGCGAATAGCTATCGAAAATAAACATACACACTTATGGTATCTATGTATTTGCCAGTGAAAAAAAAGAAGATAATTCACCGTTCGGTTCGGAGTTGTTTATAAAACCTATGCGCAAAAATATATTCAGACATTGTTTTAAACAGATAAATACAATTATTCTCAGATGCGAAGACAAAACTTAACAATTCGTAAAATGTATATAAGATGTATGTGATTTTGAATGTGGTTTCAACTAGTTCCGTTAGAAATTAATAGAACATATAAAACTCGGCTTAGTCGCATCTGGATATGAGTGAGCCTACCTACAATTGTAACTCCGAACCGGATATAGCGTGGGATAAAACGAAGACAGGAAATCGTCGAACACAAAGCGGTGCAACATCGCCATTAATAGAAAGTTGGATGTAGGTAAGTATAGGAATAAATAAATAACCTTTTCATTTGATACCCATATTGAGGGGGTTGTGAAAAAATATATTATCCGCCATTTTGTGAAGGCGGCCTTCTTGGACCGATTTTCATCAAACATAGCTAAGAACACTCCCAAATAATTCACCTTTCACAAAAAAAAAAACAAAATCAGTTCATCCATTCGGGAGCTACGACGCAACAGACAGACACACAGACACTTCAAACTTATGACACCCCTTGGTTTTTGCGTCGGGGGTTAAAAATAAAGCTTTGCAAGCTAAAAGGTATCTAGTGAGTGAAGAAAATCGATTGTAAACATTTTAAAGAATATTTCGGGAACAAAGACACGTAATTTGGCATACGTAAAGTTTATGTATAGAAGAAGGAACATTACAGATGATGACAAATCTCCTTATAGAAATGACCAACACAACTATAGGAATAAGCGTTTTGTATTTGTTTCCAACAGAATATACATTTTATTTATTTGTAAACAGGATAGATAGTGCCAGGATAGATAGTTCAAAGTTTGTTTTTATGTTCGTAAATTATTTTGTTTGTAAATTCCCTTTCTTTTGTGCGGAAATCCCTTCGGATACCACCCACCGGTGGTTATGTCGGACTCGAAGCGGCCAAAAACCGCACGCCGCGCCATCTACGGCGTGTAAATGACCCCCTCCTGTGTGGGAACCCCTATGACCCCTTTGTGCTCCCGAAACAGTGCGCGCGCTTCGCAGCGCGTCTCGCCACTACCCAAACCTACTACTGCTAGGGTGACAGATGGCCTCACCTACCACCCCCAGAACTGCGCTTATGGAAGACGGAAGTCGTTCTGCGACCTCCGGCGCCTGAGTCGTCTGCGGTACCTGACCCGCTGCCGGCCCTAGCGGGCCGGGAGAGTTCTAAACCTCTCCCGCTCCGCCATCTCTTTTGCAAGCATAACTTGCGGCAGCAAGGAGACGGCGGATTTCCACGAACTCTCACTCCGTACCATGGCGGCAACTATGTTACCGAGCGAGAGAATTCCCACTTAGATGACCGCCACGAGGCAACGCCTCTGCTCCACCCAAGTCGGGCATTCTGCCAGCGTGTGGAGCGCCATGTCCACGGTCCGGCCATCGCAGTGGTGGCACTCAGGCGTTGGGTCCTTGCGGATCAGACACAGGTGATCTCCGAAGCATCCTTTCCCAAGAACTTCGATTTCGTTATTTAATCGAGTGCATTTAAAGAATGTTAGGTATGTGTTTTCTACGCCAATGAAAGAATAATAAGAACATACTTGTGGGCCGGATAAATGGGCTTGGGTAGGGCTTGCTGGTTATTCATTAAAAATCTGATATAATTTTAACTTAATGTAAACTTCAAACATGTATAATATACGATGTACGTACGCACGGCAAACGAAATGCCTGGTCAGGTACATGTAAATGTGTGTGTTATTCCGGTAAGTATAGTACTCGTATTATACGTTTACATGTGTGTGAATTGTTAATAACTTTCTTCAATCATACATTTGCAAATTGTTATTGTTTCAAGACCATTCCCCGTTATTTGTTTCAATTTCTCTAGTACTAATAACCAAATCTATAAAAAAAGACCATTGTCGAAATATATGTGTAAAAAAATTACTCACTTATTTTCCAAAATCGTCCGACACACAACTTCTCTTACACCAGGATTCGTTATCTTCTCTACGCTAAGCTGATGCAGGTTCCAAGAAGCGAGCCGACAACATCTCACTCCGTCCCTTTCATACGAAAATACTTCTTCTACTACGGGCCTATGGGAGTACGCAGACAATAAGTCTAGGATATCATTCACGGGCACTGTTGCAAAACCATTTGGCAAAGTCATTTGGAATTTAGTATTAGTTGGCATGGAAAGACTTTTCCTGTGTGGCGTTTTCGGTGTACTCGAGATCCCATTTGGCGTCGTAGGCGTTTCCGCCCATCCATTTACATGACCGTTCGTTAAAAGTTGAACACTTTCACACTTTCTGGGCTCTAAACTTAAATGAGGTTTTACAGCACTTAGTCTCACAATATCGATACCACGAACTTTAATGAGATCATCTAAGGATTTGAAAGGTCCTCTTTTGTTACGGTAGTCTACTATATTAGCGGCTATTTCTTGGTTAAGGCCCGGTACACACTGTAATTGGAACACACTGGAAGAATTCACTGAGCACAGTTTACTTTCAGATGGTACACGAACACTATCCAACGATTGGGAACACGAACTTGCTCTTGATATCTGCTTTCGTATATTTGTGCATATTTCTGGTCTAAGTAATTCTAGTTTTTCAGCACCTATGCCTGCAAGGGCAAAAGACATTTAGTAAATTTAATAAATATGCCAAACTTCAATACATGGACTATACATATTCGATACATATTTTAACACATCTCTGTTATACACAGGGGTGTAGGGAAAATATTTGGGTGTATGTGCAATGTATGAATATTAAATATATATTTTGATAGAAATTATTTTCTTGTTTTTCTTCATAATATATACATATCCGTCTGTAATATTTATCTAACATATTGTACTTGGTGTACAATAAAGCAAGCTCTATTCTATATATTTTGTCAAAATTTGCAATGTGCACAGCTTCTCTTTACCAATCCTTAACCCTAAAGTGAAGCTGTAGTGAGCCTATTCATCTGCAAATTAAACAGTGACACCATTAAATATTGTAGATGTCCCCTTGGGCCTAGCCCAAGGGAGCATGTCCCGGGGCGGCAGGTCGTAAGAGACGGTAGTATAATTGCGTTTTATAATTGTCACCATTTATTAATTACTTTTCAATATAAATATTGCAACATAAGTATTAACACTAGAATATCACTTTATCTTGCAAGGTAGAATTTTTATCCAATAAGAGAGGCAACAATTTAAACAGAAATATACTGTGTCACTCATCTGCGGCATAATTTCTTTTACAGATAACAAATATTAATTAAGTTGTAGCTGTGGTACAAAAAACTCATTACATTTCATAGCTTTTAAATAGGTATAGAATAAAGATAAGCCTTATCAACCAAAAGAGAGTTCTGCACATAAGAACTTATCAGATTCCAATGAAATTGTATTTTTTTTCCATGTCTTTTTTTATTTAATGACTTCATTATCTTGGTAAATCTAAAGTAAGTTAAAAGAAATTAAACAGGACAACAGCACTGTCAAGAGAAGGAAAGCTTGAAAGCTAGTTAAGTGCCATGTTCCATTGTGTTATCATTTCTGAACTATGATGACTAGCGGTAATTCTGGCAAACAGACGGGCTACCACTATCAAATAGAAAAACAAGGTAATGATTGATATGCAAATAAACAGTGTAAAAAACATTTAATGCTTTTCTTTTATTCTTTTTGTTAATATTTATTGTGTTATTTTTAATATAATATATGGTCCTTGACATAGATATAATATTCTTCAACTAACAATTGATAGATTTAAAATTTTTTGTTACATTAGATGATGTGTAAGGCACTAGTATTTTGTATAGATTTTATTGCTAGTAACTTAATAAGTTTATTATCCAAACTTTATTACATTACAAGAAATTATTTAGTACCACTTTTTAAACAAATAAAGCACACAAAAGTATTATTATTACGATATTTGGAATAGTTAATATTATTTACATGTGGAAGAAATGCAAAAGGCTTTGAACTTACTATAAAATTAAAAATTATAAAAAAAAAACTGCCACATAAGACTATTGGAGTATTATATACTTTGATCTGTCATAGTACAAAAGTCTATAGACTGACAGCTCAAGTTATAATGGAACATTCAAAATAGTTGCTTAATTCAAACATCTGGTGATTTCTAGTCTTATATGTATATAATGTTTAGGAAAGACCACAAAAAAATTGGATTCGCTAACACAAAGATTTCAGCCTTAAAAATAAATAAAAGTATTTCTCTTTCACAATACCTGATGCTTTAGGATTTTACATAAATAATATAGCTCATTTATATTAACTTGAATAATTATTTTCATAAACTCAAATTTCTGCATTAAAATAACATATTACCAGAATATAATAAAAAAATAATGTATTTAAAGATAAGGGACTTATGTATTGTGAATTTACATTGATCACATGGTCTCATGTGACGCCAAATTGAATTAATTTTAAAGTTATCGCAGTTAATTTACCTGATACGAGTGCGAGGTCGTCCACTCGTTTGAATCGCCCAATTATCCGGCGATGCCGCACTATTTCTTGCGCTAGCTGCCTGTTTACTCCTGGCAGCGTCATCAGCTGTTCCTCCGTAGCTGTATTCACGTTCATCAGCTCAGGATAATCTTCCGAAGGCGGCAAATTGAACGTGTGGCTCAAACTGGATTTATTCAATTTACTCCGCCTTATGAACCGCCGAAAGGAATTCCTGCGGCCGCTTTTGCTCCAGACGGAGCTTGGACTTTGCCCCATATCGTCACCCGCCACTTCGAAATTATATATCGATCATAATATCAGTAATTCAAAATTTCACCCCAAAATACGCAAAGAAAAAAAACTAATAATAGATTGTTACGTTACTCACTAGCCTTAAGCTTTTCACGGACGAAAAATTATAAGTATTGAAGTAATTCACTTAAAATTGTTGCTCTTACTACCGACAAAGTTTGTTTTTAATTTGCACAATTGTTACGGTCATTATTCAGCAAGACAAACAATACATCTCCTCGTCATCAAGTAAATCGCAACAATGAAATTGAAAATGACAGCGAGTACTGAATTTGACAGCAAGACTGACTGACCGAAAACAGAACAGAATGAATGTCAAAGATAACGGAGTGAGTATAGTGCGGGCCGGTTTCGTAAATAATATAAATTGTGTACCTACTAATTCCATTTCGAATAGACTGTTGTCAGGTTGGCATGATTTTAATGAATCGTGTCATGCTCTTATTTCTTCCTTGGTTTACCCAGTAGAGACTTAAAGATTTTTAGTAGACCCAAAAAAGGCTTCTTTGGTTTTAGATAACTGTAGCTTTCTCACTCTAAAGTTGACCATTTGTAAAAAAATCATTATTATGAGTGTAACTATTTAATCGTCATGGATGATAGTGATGTGAATAAGACTTTGAAAGTACTTAAAAATCCACTTACAAAATTTTACGTTCTCGAATACAGTGCTCAACGTTGCTTGATTAGCCATAACTAAAAAAAAACTATTGAACCATGGTTGGTTAACGATTATGAACACATAACAATTTTATTCCATCAATCTACCAAGACATAGTTCTAACCATATAATGGTATTAACTAAATATTGGTTCTTTACATGCAAATTTACTTTGAAAATATGTGTATATTTTTATTCTAGATGGATTAAAAGTTAAGTTTAAGTATGTTTTATAATGAAAATTAAATAGATCTTCATCTAGCTACTATTCGGCAATATACAACAAATTAATGACGTGAAATAAATGAAATCAAGTCACTGAACTCATGTCATGTGAAAAATATAATTATTAATCTATTTCATTCATGTATGAGATATAAATCGTAAAATGAGTGTAAAATCAAATATTAGTCTTTTTAAAAGGTTTGTATGAATAGTAAAATGCTGCACAAAACCTTTTTTTATGACGATTAAGCAATGAGCTGCCGCGAGTCAACCGATAAGTACCTATACGTGGTCTTCTCACTCGATTCTCATTTGCACATCCATTCGTCACTTAAGACCCCCAATACATATGAGTAAATAGTGATAACGTAAAAATAATATGATACAAATACAACTAAATATGTTGCATGTCGTCAACGAGATAATATTAGCGATGTGCTTACCTATTTAGAGTTACGAAATTATTAACATAGTTACCGAGGTCAAGTGCGGATTTAGTGTGTCATCTTTCATTGGTGCAATAAATATTTTAAATTCAACATATCACAATGTTGAATTTAAAAGTTCTTTATAGTTAATATAATAAAATATAACTATTAATTTACTATAGTCAGAAGTTTAATAAGTTTTATTAGTTATATAGATTTCTAAACGTCGTGGAAATATTTATGCCATTCACTACGCACAAAAAGTGCGTAAAACAAATATAATCTACTTTGAAAAATATACAGGCAGTATTTAAAACCAGTTGCAGGCCTTATGATGGTCTCTATCATAAGGCCGGCAACTAGTTATAAATACTATAATAAAATTAAAATACTATATTTTCCACTTACAAAACTGTCAAAAAGAAAATAAAACCAATGGACAGAGTATAGCTTTATTTTAGCTAAACCCTTAACTAAACAAAAATATATGCAGAAAAAATAAATGGAAGAAAAATCGAAAAGGTAAAGTTACCTTTAAAACTGTCTGTGTGTGAAACCCTGCCAATTTTGGTTCGATTACGTTACAAACCGAAAAATTGTCAGTACTCAAGCACATACTGTTATGATACCTACTGACAGCTTTTTTATAGATTTATGACGTAATGGATTTGGTTGGCTTTTTAAATCACGTTACAATAATGACTATACAAGCCTTTAAAATAAAATTTAGACTATATTTGATGCACTTTTCGAAATAAAAAATACATTGGTTTTACACAATTTAAATTCATGATTATAATATTATTAACATCCCTATTTGTGTGATTCCCATACTAGGAACTCCAATTTGACAGCGAGAGATTCATGCTTCATCAGTAGGCCGGCTCGACCGGAGTGATACAACGGTCTCACAGACAACCGTTTTTAAGCAATCCTTTTGTTGCGTTTCACCGAGTGCATTTTACCGAACGCCCAACTTCCGTCTCTAATTCTGAGGAAACACTTAAAAGCCCGGCAACGCACTAATGGCTCTTGATTTACAGGTGTTTCATGGGCGACGGTAGTGACTTAGCATCAGGTGACCCGTTTGCTAGTTTACCACCTAAAGAACTTAATAAAATTCACTAGTTTTTACTTCAAAAGTATCAAATAGTGCGTCTTTAGTACAAAATTTGATTTCAGCGGTAACACATATTTACGAATTTGTATTCTGACACGGCCAGCTGCACCTGTACACCAAAGGCAAAAAGCAAATAGAGAAAAAGCAGGCACAATTAAAAAAAAATGTTGCCAACGTCACGGCCAATAAAACACAAGTGTGATCAGAACAGTTCCCGTGCTAATTTATTCAAATTATGTACAGTTATATCGCCTATAAGCTTACACTTAGACAACCGCTGCTACAATAATACGAATGTGTATAATCACTGCATTAGCTCTGTAAAGAAACTCTATTTACAGAGATGAGTGTGCGATATTACAAATGGGAGTTTTATGGGCTAATTACAACACAGTTCCACAAATAATTTTAAATACTGTTTATTATTCTTTCTGATCGTCATATTAGAACTTCATTTGCATTTATTACATCCATACGATACACTTCGTTTTTAAGATTTTTTTATTTAGTATGGCGACTGACGACCACTCTTAACTTCCATCATTACATAATAATACTAGTGAAACAGTCCAACATTACATATGTTTCATTCTGTACCTAAATAACTAGATCAAGGTAAATATATGCATCGAAGCAGATAAATATTTATATTGAACGGTATTCGGGCTCCGCGACCTCCTAATTTGACACTGAATTCTTTAGTCGATCAATCAAATTTTATACCTACCTATAACTACTTCGTCACTTAAGAAAATACTGACCACTTGATGTGGATGAAAAATAGCGATCCATAACTTCTGTTCGAAACAAAACTTCTTAACCTTAAAAGCAAATTGAATTTTACCGTGATGATCATGGAGAATTAGTTGTATTCTGTGGTTGTAGGTCTCTTAACTACTTTTCATAACAGTAATAAGTTTAAGACCCACGAGATGACGATAAATTAACATCAATATTTATAGAAAATATGTCTTCATAAAAAGTTCATTACTTCAAATTAGTGCTGAGTAAAAAAAAAAAATATTACTAAGGAAATACCTTAGTCTGTCAGTAGCGTTATATTCACATTTTTTACACTATTTTCGTGAAAGTATTGCTTTACAATAGGTGGTGCATCATCAAAATGAAATAAGCATTTACAAGCGTAGGTATGCATTAGCTTATGTATATGTTTCATTACTTACATGGAACTGAGGAAACCCTTCCTTTGATAAGGTTTATTAAAATATTCATACATTCAGTCTACCATGAGGGTCTTGTAATTGGTAATAAGATCTCGAATACTATTCGTCTATGTAACATATAATTTAGTTGGTAAATTAAAAAAGAAGGGTAACCTCTGTAATTATTTCAATGCCCCAATTTAAAAGATTGAAAAAAAAGTGTTTGTATAATTTATTAATTAGCTCATAAAACTGCCATTTGAATGGTGAAATTACACCCAAATAGTGAAATGGAAAACATAACGAAAATGTCACCAGTACATATGGATGTCCACTGTCTGTCTTTTATTACATTTTTTAAATTCCATATTATCATAAATACTTTTATACACTCAATACAATTAAATCGTTCGTACTTGGCCGTGAGACCATCGCGCATCGCTTACAGATTAGTAATTTTTTTTCTTTAAATAACGTATTTAAACTAAAAAGTTTTCACTATTAAATATTGGAATCTAACCTATTGCGAAGCGTAACAAAAACTATCTTTTGAGAATCTAACTAATCACTAAGCCTTAGCTTCATCTGTGTTATTACAACCCAAAATGGCATTGTTTTTTTAAACAGCCAACTATTTATAATCTATTTTAAATGAATACTTTAAATTTATTACGGAAAAAAATGGATAAAAAAAAATATTGTTGTGTTTTTTTTATAAACTAAACAAAATCAACAAGAGAAAAAATGAATTTGTCTTTCTCGTAACAGTTGAGCGTGAAATAAAAAAACAATTTATGCCTATATGAGGATGTTATGTGGCTAATACATCATACACAGGATACAGGGAAATTATTTTGTTCTACATACAAAAATATATCACAGAAAGAGATGTAGGTAGTCATTAATCAATAAAAAAATTCAAATGATACTTTGACTAGTACACATATGTTTAAAAAGAAAAGTATATGAGCAAAAAATTACCTGCATTCGAAAAATTTCCAACAAACATGGTAATTATACAAAAAAATTTAGGTTGTTAGATTCAGTTACATATGGTTACAATTGAATTATATAAAAATACTTGATTACTATTCATAATAAATATTATATGTTTAAATAGACAACCACGTTGACTAGGCACTGCTCCCACGCGTATCGAGTGCCCGGTCAAGTTGGTCGAAGAAACACCGACATTCTACAATAAGTCTATGATTATTAAAATTATGCAGTTTAGCCACCTAACATTTTATCCCCTTTATAAAAATAGACAATAATCCAGCCTTTTTAGCTCCATCCCACATCCATAACTTGTACAAATATTTCATATCAAAACTTGCCAATCCTCCTCCTTTATCATACAAATGAGTTTATTATTATAACGTTAAATACGTTTCCTTGACAAACTTATCGACACTGCTATAAAAAATCATAACATTGTCCAGATCGAGGCGTAGAGTTTAAACAGTTCTTACAACAAATACGTAGTATTATAGACAATGAAATCATACCTTTCATATAATGTCAATAAAGCAGTTCCTATTCAGACATAGAAAAAATCTTTCAGGTAAATTGCACAACAAAAATATTCTTAGCTGCCAATACCTTATTATTTAAATGTCGAAGGTACAATAAGTTTGTCAAAAAAACGGAGCCAGCTAAAATTAATTAATACCTAAGCTAATCACTTTAATAAGTTATAAGTTGAAGATATTTTTTTTGTTTATATGATATAAATACTTATTTAAGTTTGGAAAAGCTACGCTTTCTGCATCTGTTTTTTTTTTTCAATTATTATTTGGAATTGTTAAGTACTCTAAGATATGATTCCGTACTTGTAATAATATTTCTATAGTGCTTTACACATCTAGTGGGATAATAGTGACCTTTAGTGTAACGAATAGAAATATGAGAGAGAGAGCTTAGGCAAGAGACGTTAAATAAAACTCCACCATAATTAATAATAATTTTACTATTACAATAAGCACCAAACTAGGTTTGGAATGTTCAGTATTGCACCACATGTGAACGTAATCGATTCTGATACCAGTCACAACGTAAATATAAACAATATACAGGGTGGGGTAGTAAAAACGGTAGTAAAATTCCAAATAACTATATTTCAATAATAAATAAATTCAGTTAACCAACACAATAAAGGTCACCATTATTGGGTCCGATTTGGAAGCGAATTGAAAATACAAAATGAGCAAAAAAAGACATACAGCGTAATATTATTTTACCCATACTCTGTTGATGGTTTGTACAAATAGTGACTTCATTGTGCATAAAACCATGTGTCGTTGCACCTCCAGTCTTCACAGAAGATCACAATTACGGAACTTTCTAATCTCAGATGACAAAACCTTTTCACTAGGGTAATGTTATTGACAGGTGCTAGAATACATGAAACTAAAAATTAACACTTGACCTTAAGAGTAAGTGATGTATTATTACGTAAATTTGACAAGGTAAGTCGGTCCCATTTCTTTCCGACATTCTGTCAAACAATAAACACCTTTATTCAGGAATAAAGATAGTTCTGTTTGCTTATTCGACAGTTTCGTCCATTTGTAGAACTCCCTTAAACAAAAATAATGTGACAAACACAAGGATTTATGTTTATATATTTCTTCTAATTATCAAGATTTCTTTTTTCTATTCAAAAATCAATTTTAAGACCCACATTTCATGTATTATTTTTAATATAACATATTTAATGGTATATGTTTCGTGTATTCCAGCACATATCTCAGATAACTATCTAAATAAATACTTATTTTAATATCATAAACAATATTACAAATAAACGTTTGCGTTTTATTAGAAAAGTACTTCAAATTCGCATTTTCGATAGTAATGGAAATGTATTACATATGTTGTTCCTATCTCCAGGGGCGGGGCACTTCCAGCTGTTTACTGTAGACATATATTATTTACATCAAACATATATATATATATATATATTGTTATACACCTATACTCTAAGTGATTAGGCGAACTAGATAGTGTACTGGAGTCTATTTACTCACAAGAAGTAGTGCTTGCCTTGAATTTATGTGGCATAAGACTTGTTTAAACAGATGTTTTTGTCGAAGACAAAGTCTCCTTAGTAAGTTAATAATTTAACTGTACCACGACATGTAAATTGCACGTTACAAGAAAAAGATTGCACATATTGAATCGCTTAGAGCGACATCGTTACAACCCAGAAATACAATAAATACTGTAATCTTCTAGTAATTTTATATTTTTTTAAATTCTCTCAAAAGTAATTTTTAACATCAATATTACGCTTCGAGTGCCCCATGTACCCTTTGAGTTAATTTTACAATTAATTATAAAATCTAAATTGTCGTATAAATAATACAATCACTATTCGCCGGGCGAACTGTGGCGTGTTACAATGCCAGGCATGCCGACGAGGGAATACTGTCTATTGAAAATATATTTAAAAAAGAATCTACGGATGACCTTAGTATTATTTTACAAATTGAGGTTATTTTTCTGTTTTAATAGACTTTAAGTTAATATAGGATTAAACTTGTAAAGTGATAAGCATTCCCTCGACGTTTATAAACTTTTTTGAAAGACTGACTATTTGAAGCTGCCATTATGTTAGTGTAAGTTTAGTGTTTTTGTGAAATTAGTGTCATAGAGACTGGTGTGTGAGTATTACAAACGGACTGGACTGTCACAAGTATTATAGTTCAAATAATCACAAATATTATTTTCATTTCTATTACAGAAAAGCATTACATAACATCGAGGTACATTCAAGCTTATACTATTTATTATGAACAGTAAAATTAAAATTTCATTAAAACAGCCAATCTTTCAAAGAAGCGCCGGGCGAACGTCTACTTTCGTCCGCCTTAATTTTAAGTATCGACCGAATACAAACAGCCGCGTGTTGGAAGAAATCTCTTAGCGATCGGTCGCGCGGGAGTGTGCGTGCGCGTCAACACAAGTACAAGCCAGCGATGTGTGTGTGAGTGTGTGAGAGAGAGAGAGTAAACGATCGTGTTCGCGCAAGCGTCGTCCCCGAGCGGGCGAGTATGTACGTATGCCCGCCGCATTACATAGTACCTGAAATAGTTTAAAAGACAGGCTTTTAATTTGACAGTTATCGACTAAAATTATTATTAGTTAATCCAATACTTGCTCGTCCAGAACTGACAAAATTCTGGGAATAAAAGTTATGACTTCTTGGATAGCCTGTCAGATGCTGATTTTGATAAAGGACTTCAGTACTTAACTTTATCAAAAGTTTCTGATTACACAAATAATTGTTGTATACTACGACTACGACTACGACTTTGGCGTAGGATAAAAAATATAATAACATCAATAGTCAACAGTATGTAATATAATAATAGGGTATAACGTAGGATGTAAAGCTCACCTAGAGCCAGGCCAGTCGGCGGCTAGCACTCGGACGAGGAGTTGAGGTCGATGGGCGGCGGCGGGCCGGCGGGCCGGGTCTTGGCGGTGCGCGTGAGGCGGTCGAGCTCGGCCGCCGCGTCCGAGCGCGCAGCCGCCGCCGCGGGCGACGCGTCGGGCCGGCCCGCCGGCGAGCCCGTCTTCTTGTACAGCAGCGAGTTGAAGAAGTTGGCCAGCACGCCCTCGTTGCCGGGCGTTCCCGGACCCATACTGATTTTCGTTCCGTCCAGCTGTGGACAACGTTTTATATTATTATGGTATTTTAAAATATACATTAAAATATTTTTTAGCGACACAGAACCCTGGTGTTCCAGACTAGGTAGGTCGAAAAGGATGCTTGTAGTGTTAGGCGTGTACCTGGGCGAGAGAGTCAGGTATATGACGATAGCCACTGACCTGCGAGGTGGCCCGCTGCGTGGCTCGCAGGGGCGAGTCGGCGCGCGGCGCGGGCGCCCCGGCCTGGAGCGCGGCGAGCTGGCGCTGCAGGAAGGCCTGCTCGTCCTCCGCTTGTACTTCCGCCTCGCGGTTTGCTCCACTCTGCAAGGAAACGACCATAATATAATTATTTTTACGAAGTTTAGATACGTATACGTATATACATCTTTTTGAGTTTTAAAATTATATTAACATGCGCAAATATTACGAAACAATTAATACTCACTTTCCGTACGACAGGCTGTACTATGACATCCCTGTAGTAATCGTCTGGCTTACACGATTGCATGTTCTCGTATAATATACTAATTTTCTTCATGCTATCCCAACCGGCCGGTCTGGAGAGAAAGAAACATTATTTAACATCATAATGAATAACAATAGAATCTTAATTAGTCGTAGAGGGTAGTCATAAAAATCATAACTAAAATTCTTCCATAAAAATCTTTCCATAAAACTATCGTAATATAGCTATATATCAATAATATGTGGTGACGGATTAAGAAAAGAATACTAAGTGTCACCACCCCTATTCATCCCGTGGGTGTCGTAAGAGGCGACTAAGGGAGCAAACTACGCAGGACAACAGCACTGAAAAAAGAAGGAAAACTTGAAAAAAAACCTTATACCAACCCGTCTGGCCAGCGTGGTATAGTAGGCCAAAAACCTCCTTTCTAAGGAGAGGCCTATGTCCAGCAGTAGACTATTAAAGGCTGTTGATCAATAATATCGATCATCAGACATCTAAGTAATCTATAAAACTAAGTAAGTTGAAGTAATAAATTGATTTTTAACACATATGATTTGCCTTAAAATAATAATATTACTTACTTACTTATTATTAATAATAATAATACTAATATTATAAATGCGAAAGTGTGTGTCTGGGTTTCTTACTGTCTGTCTGTCTATTCTTCACGCTTAAACCACTTAACCGAATTAGATGAAATTTGGTATAGGAATAGTCCGAATCCCGGGAAAGGATATAAGATAGTTTTAATCCGAGAAATCATCCTTAAAGGGATTGAATTGGGGGCTCAAAGATGAAATTTGGTGTGTATATACTTTGATTCTTGCGGAAATTTACCGCGATAACCGACATTTACGCGGGCGGAGCCGCGGGCAAAAGTTAGTTAACTGTATAATGTTTTAATGGAATGGGTAAACGAGCAGACGGGTCACCTGATGGTAAGTAACGATCACCGCTCATGGACACGTGGAACTTAAGAGAAACGTCACATCATTACGTATGCTATGGCATCGCCCCAGTCCCTCCAGGCCACGACAATTGACAAAAGTTACTTACATCAAAACTGCATCTTTCTCGACGATCAACGCGGGCGTCCTAAAAGGCAGCCCATATATCCTGTGCGTGAGATATTTGTAAAGAAGATCACAATTCTTGTCTTCCTTAGCGCTTGTGTAGAAGAGTGCCGCACCGTACTGAAGGCAGAACCGTCTGATCCACTGCTGCATGAAGTCGAAGTTCTCGTCGCGGTAATCGTGTTCCTTCTCCAGGGTGCTCATGTAGTCGGTCTGAGGGAGAATTTCGATAAATAAATTAAATCTGCTACTTCTTGTTGTCTTTTTTAAGTAAAAATTTTTTACGCACGCTAGACTTGGGGAGTAATACTGCCTACGCGGCGTCCTACAACTAAATCCGTAAATTCAAAGCAAGCCCCTCTAGGGATAAGGAATTAGTCGTAAGGCTTTTCCACAAGTTTTGTGGATTAAAAGCACAGTGCACTAACCAAGCGAACGAACGGTTTTCTAACACAAGAGTTTAGCTTGGCTGGTGATGTAAGAATACTATAGTTAGTTCGCGTTAAGAATGCAGTGAGTCATCACTGCAAGTGCAAGGCAAAGGTGTATTCACCGTGGTGTTAAAATTTGAACAAATTATATTCTTAAAGATTAAGTTTTATAAGATTCTAATTAGTAATGATTTGATTGGTTACGGGTCGTGTCGTGTCCAGCGGACAGTACTCATTCGCGAACATGAACGAACTATAAACACGACTGATAGACGTTTCAAAGCATATTGAATATTTTACTTTATTGCCTACCTTAGTTGCTACAACTACAATGTCAAGTCCTAGATTAGTAGTAAGTACGGCCTCTGGCAAGGGACAGTCATCATCGTCGCCGTTTTCCAGATCATCAGATAAGTTTCTCGAAGACCTCTTCATTGGAGATGACGCTGTGGGCTCCAGCTCGTCTCCTGGTTCTGTATACCTCTGCCATTTCTGTACTTGCTGCTTTTTACTTTGTAACCTTTGTTCTGTAACAAGAAAATAACCATAATTACATAAGGATTTAAACAGATCCGATTTCACATATCGGCACTGAGGACAAAACCTCTTTTTTTTTGTTGACGGGGTGGAAAATACCTTCGGATCTCCGGCTCCTTGGAGATGACAAGCCACGAGTATGTGGTGTTTACAATAAAAACCACCCCGACGGCCGGACTCGCTCTACTCCGAGGCGGACCCGGAACATATTATTTCAGGTCCCCCCCGGATCGACGCTGCGCCCAGTAAAGCTGCGGGCTTCCCCCGCCTATCGGCCCGATCGCATTTTTGCGACCAGGCAGCCATCCTATCACCTACCGCAGCAGTTAACCTGCCACCAGAGGTCCCCTGCCTCTGGCAGCCTGCGGCCCCGTCGACGGCTGGTATCGCTGGCGACGTCCTTTACGCTCAGGGCCCTCTCCCGATCCCGTTCAGCGGTCTCTTTCTGGAGCATTACAGCTTCACAGAAAGAGACCACTGCGCCCCAGCCCTTCTCACCCGAAGGACAAAACCTCCTAATACATATTTTTTTAAATATTTTTTAGAAACTTTTCTTGGCGTTTTGAACGTCATTGCAAGCATGTTTAGTAAAAATCCTGTTTCTTTTAGTTGCAACAGTTTTAAATTAAAATGCGGAAATATTTCCCAACTATATTTTTTTATATTACATGTAACTGTAACTAAATACCTACTGAATTTTTATTAAATGCATTAAAATAGGATAATAATTAAATTATATATCTTGTCAAGAAATAAATATAAACTTAGTAAGTTCTAAATTCAGGCGTATGCGTATTCATTAGTGGACAATTAATTTTCAACAAAAAACAATTTTCTTTAGTATTTGATATCATAAACTAGTTGATAATTTATTTTTGCTTGGCCTGTTTGAAAAAATAATGAGCAAGTTTAACCCTATTTAAAAATCATTTTGAATATTGTAGAATAGAATAAACTCTATTGTACACCAGTTCAGTACATCATACATCATCATACATACAGGAGTATATCAAATTAATGACCATGTACAAATGGCGGCCTTATCGCTAAAAATCAATTTCTAACAGGCAACCTTTGGATAGACAAATAGACTGTATAGTGGTGAATTCATGGGCATTTTTGGTGTGAAATAATGTAAAAGAATCATAAATTATTTATACAGCAAGACAGCATTTGATTTTGATGAAAAGTAAATAACAGTAGTATTTATTATAATACAGTCAGTCCTAACAATAGGTACCTATTTATAAATATAAATAAACGTTATACATATAAATAATCTGTAAAACATATACGCATTATCTATACTAATATTATAAAGCTGAAGAGTTTGTTTGTTTGTTTGTTTGTTTGAACGCGCTAATCTCAGGAACTACTGGTCCGATTTGAAAAATTCTTTCAGTGTTAGATAGCCCATTTATCGAGGAAGGCTATAGGCTATATATCATCACGCTAAGACTAATAGGAGCGGAGCACCAATGAAGAATGTTTCAAAAAACGGAGAAAATTTATTACTATTGAGAGACGCAGACGAAGTTGCGCGGGTCAGCTAGTATAACATAAATACCATTGCATTACTTATATGAGATTAGACTGTAAAATATGAGAAATTTAGACGTGACTATAACATACACTCACTTAGTCACGAGTGCCTTTGTTTATTAAGATATCAAACATCGTGCGAGAACAAACTAAAACTTGGAGAATAGTGTCTGTATACATGCGTTCAAAACTTCCTGAAAACCGTTTTAAGAATTTATGAAGTTAATAAAAAGTAAAAAAAAATAGTCTACAAAGCGCAGCACTACGGCATAAGAATAAAATTAGCATTAATTTATAATTAAAACCGTTAAATGTTTTATACAATTACACGTATTTAGCTAGATTTTTTTGTGAAGTGATTTTAATCATTAGTTAATGATAATGATTGAACTATTTTGCTGAGAACGGAATCTTTATGAAAACTTAGATATTAATTCAATACAAAAACGTTTAACCAAACATTTTAGAAACAAACGGTATTTCGTCCAATTAATTTACAATGTTTATTAGGATGCGCGTACGTGTAGATTTTTTTGTTAAGAGCAGTGAATCACCGGAAATATTTTGCCATTTCTTCCGTTTTATCTAGACTATTTGTAGGTTTTAAAAACAGAACAATGAGAGTGGATCGGTCTGGCCAAGACCGAAGGAGCAAGAAAACATTTGCCCATCCACTACTTAATTAAAGTTTTAAGTTTTTGGCGCTTAGGCTCATTTACTGGAAATTTAACTTTGAAAATACGGCAATTTACTTTTGGGTCAATCTAGTTAATTTTGACGTACACTTCCCGAATGACATCCGAATTATCAGGAAAAATCTATATTCACGTGAGTACTCTAAAGTAGTGAAGTTAATTTTATAGGAATTGAAGCAAATCTCTACTTCACCAATTATAAACGAGAATGCAGCAATTAAATGACGTACTACATAAAATCCTAATCCCAAGCGTAATTACTTTAAACGCGAAAGTTAGTTTGTTACAGTTTTACATCGTAACAATTTTTAAAATTTCATGATAGAAGATTGTTTAATTCTATATATTTAATCAAACTAATAAAAGTGCCTTTCGGTTCCTTTGACAACATAGCCGATAGGTCTCAAAGCTTTTATTTTTCACAAAGCCGTCAGTATTTAGGATGAGTTTGTGAGAATCCATGCCTTAGCGCTGTTTTCGAACAGATGAAGCTTCTTTAAATGCTCTTATAAAATACTAGTTTGGGAACACTACTGTTTTACGAGTGAAAGATACCTCATGTAAGAACATAGGGTGTTTTGCATCGTTCTGTACCCTGGCAAAGTATGTGGCAAACTTCACGATGTTGCTTCAATAGGATGTAAAAGCTTAACAAATAAACAGACTTCTAAGTTTATAATAGTTATGATGTACGTTAACATCTACAAGCTATAATGCATGCATGCAAATAACAGGATTCTGAAAGATGCTGTTCATTTTCAATCTCAGTGGAGCAGATCATACCAAAAATAGCACAAATCAATTGAAATTATAACAGTTCTGAGGGCCAATTGCGAGTTTACTTGACATCTGTGCCTAAAACTTGGGAGTGTGTGATGAAAATATCTTTCAGTCAGATTGGTGAAAAATTAAAGCGTTTATTATGCGCTTTAATATTTAGTTAAGGGTAAAACATACGTTATTTCTGCATGCACTTGAAGTATTTATATTGTACGAGCTTTTGCGCTTGGTTTTGCAAACGGCAATGTCGATTTCGTTAATCAATTTTACGGGACAAATAGTAAGTAGCCTATGCCTTATTCTAGACTAAAATCTATCTTTGTTCCACTCGTCATCTAATTTCGTTTAGTCGTTGTGGCGTAATTGAGTAACAAACATCCATCCATTAATCCAGCTATTGACTGCCTTGTTGGTGCAGTAGGTAGCGTATGCGGGTTCGATTCCCGGGTCGGACCAATTGTTTGTATGATCTGCAAATATTTGTTTCGTAGTTTGGGTGTTTTTTTTTTTAAGTATTTACAAAAAAAATGTATATAAGTATTATATCAGCCAATTTAGCTTTCATATTACAAGATCTGGTTAGTTTGAAACTAGACCGCGTTGTGTGTTTGATGTCCCAAATATTTATTTATTATTATTTATTGTCTATCCAAAGGTTATTTATTATCTGTCCGTGTATACTCAGGAAGGCAGAAGGGAGAACTGTTCCATACTTCTCCTGTTCTATTCACGTTTATGTGTAGACTCACGTCACTTCCGAGAGGCTTTGCCTTGTTGTCAATAGATATATCGAAGATGCTCACCGATAGTTCCCTTGCAATGCAAAAGTCCGACGCAATTTATAAATTTATCCTATCCATCTACCCAAACTTTTTAAAATATTAAGTATAGATTTTGTATATTTGACAGTAATAAAAATGCACTGGTAGTGTGCACAATCTACCGAAACAGCTAGAAATCTAGAAATAATTGTCCGCGTGTGTCATAAATATGCTAATGCACTAATACTAACCTAACCCTGAAAGAAAAACGTCAACGCACAGTTCTTCGACACTACTATTTGTTAGACTTTTGTTCTCGCTTTTCACCTATAAACGAAAAGAGTTAAGACCGACAATGTATGACCTAAGCCTAAAACAGCATTTTTTACAAGACTTCTTCTACGATTATTAGTAATCATAGTTTTTCATAATCTCCTTCGGTTCGTTATCAAGAAGCCTTGCCGGTGCAAGTTTGTGCATGTGTCTATAAAAGTTACTGCCGAACAATTTATTTTTCCACTTCAAAACAGTTTATATGCCAACTACAAAACTAAAAAAAAGCTTTTGACTTCAAAGTTCTTAAAATCTGGTAATTAAAACTAATTGTTGATGATATTAGCAGCCAAATAAATACAACAATAATCCCTACCATGAGATACGCCAAAGTCCCATACATGGCTGCCATTGTCCTTTAAATGGGACCAAATGGAAAGTATATTATTCCAAATTAAAAAATAATGTTTCAATACGGTTAATAAATGACAGAGTTCTAAGGCAACAGACATCCAAAAAATAAAATCATCAAGAAACTTTTTCATTTTTAAATCCATTAAATAAAATAAATAAGCTATGCTCGACTTTTATTTATATATTTATATACTTATGTATATATTTATATCTAATAAGCACACCTAAAGATAGATGAAACTACCTTCTTACTTATCTCTTTGCTTAGGAATATACAAATAACACAACATTAAAAAAAAGCGAACAGAAGAATTCAGTTGGTTCTTTAACGAGTGCGTCCTACCCGTCATGACATAGGGAGCCGAAACATGGACACTTACGGTACGGCTGGTCCACAAGTTCAAACTCGCTCAATGTGCTATGGAAAGGGCTCGGCTATGCTCGGCGTTTCTCTAAGGGATCGCATCAGGAATGAGGTGATCCGGCAAAGAACCACAGTTACCGACATAGCCTACCGGATCAGCA